ATGTCCTGTGGATATAGAGGGCTGACTATATTTAAATCAAATCTCAGACATTATATCATTTATTTTGGGTTGTATCTGAAAAATGTGGGAATTTTTTCTTATGTATCCACATGCCATTTCATGTTCAGATTTTCTTGCTTGTCTCAGGAATATCTCTTTACAGTTGCTGTGTTGGAGTTAGGATCCACAAGGTCTACATATTACATTTGGTTGTTATAGCTCTTAACCCTCTTTTAATCTAGAATATTCTCCTACTCTAATTCTTCAACCATTGTTTTCTTTTCATGCCATTGACCCATTGAAGATCCTGGGTCAAGGTCTGTAGAATTTCTCATATCCTAGATTCAGCTTACTGCTTTTACTTGTTCCAGTATCACTATTTGTGTGTGTGCGTAGTTTTGTTTGGCAAGGGTAGTTTATAGGTAGTACAGAATATTCCTACTGTATCAGGTGGCACTTAATGTCTAGTTATCCCACTTTAGTGAGGCTAAGATTGATCAGTGGATTCAGATGGTAACAACCTAATCCATCTACTATACAATTCTTTATTATCCTTTAATCTAATGTTTTCATCAAGTTATACTTTTACCCTGAATCAGTTATTTTTTCAGGGGTTGCAAAATGATGATTTTTATGATTCCATCATGATTCTACAGTTATCAGCTAAAATTCATACAACTGGAGCTAGTCAGTTATACTGGAATACAGTTTAAACAGGCACATTAAGCTCCCCTTTTAGGTTCAGTAATGTGTTTTGTGTCAGTTTTTTTAAGTTGTATTACTCTGTATGTGTTGCTATACCAAAATACCACAGACTGGGTAATTTATAAAGAACAGAAATTTATTTTCTCCCAGTTCTGCAAGCAAGAAAGTCCAAGCCTTTAAGTCCAAGATCAAAGTGCCATCAAGCTGTCTGGTGAGGGCTGTTTCCAAAATGGCACCTTGTTGCTACATCCTCAGAAGTCAAGCAACTGAAGGCTGTATGAAATTTCTTTAATAAGGACTTTAAACCAATTCACAAAGGGAGGAACCCTCATGACCTAATCACCCCCTAAAAGCCTTGCCTCTTAATACCACCACATTGACCATTACATTTCAACACTTAAATTTTAGGGGACACATTCAAACTATAGCAATAGTCCTGAACAATAAGTGCTTCTTCCTACTGTAAATGCCAAAGCTGCTGCCTGTAACAAAGCAACATGATTGGTAATTGCATCATGTAGAAAAACCTTAGCAAGACCAACAGAGGTCCTGCCATCAGGTATTTCTTCTCTGTGTCCTTTTGACTTGAGACATTCCAGTTCCCTGACTTTCAACCTCTTTGTAAAATATAGCAGGAAGATTTTGGAACTTGTGGGTTAAAGCTAGTACATGCACTTCCTTCTTTCCTCTGCTTGTTTAAACTAATTTTGTCTGTGCACTTACTCACTGTAAAAATACCAAAGCAATTTTTCTGTGCTAGGCCCAGCATTCTGAAGCATGCAATTGCTGGCATTATACCTAAGAAAAGAAAATGTATAACACCCAAGCAAGTAGAATGCCTTACTGAATGATTTTGTTGTTATTTAGTTTTGCTTATATGTTTTTGTGGAAGCATTTCTATTTTTGAATCTTGGAGTCAGCTATGATTCCACTGTAAAACTTTTTTTTTTTTAATCAAGTCCTTATTTTCTGTTCTTTTTTTTTTTTTCTTTTTTTTTTGAGTTGGAGTCTCACTCTGTCACCTAGGCTGGAGTGCAGTGGCACACTCACAGCCATCCATCCCAGCGTCGATCTGCTGGACTCTTGCAATCCTTCTGCCTCAGCCTTCCAAGGAGCCCGAACTACAGGCGTGAGCTACCATGCCCAGCTAATTTTTTATTTATTGTAGAGATGATGTCTCGCCAAGTTGTCCAGGGTGGTCTTGAACCCGCCAGCTCAGGTATTCCACTCACCTCGGCCTCCCAAAGTGCTGGGATTACAGGCTGAGTCACCAAGCCCAGCCTATTTTCTGTTCTGTTGCCACCATTCACTTCAAGTCTTTTTGCCTTTAGGGTCTCTTTTCCAATTGTCTTTCTTTCCTATTCTGATGAAATACTCTCAGTGCCCTTCAGTAGTGCCTCACTGACAACAAGGGGAGGTCCGTACTCCCTAGCTTTGCATTCATGCCTCTGTGCAGTCTGGAGTCAGATGCACCTCCTCTTCCACCCTTCTCCTTTGTTGGCCAGAGCAGTGTGCTCACTGGCTCTTCACGTTCAGTCTCCTGTACCAGAGCAACCAGCCTCTTGCCATGCCCTATATACTAGTCCCAGGATCCTATCATCTCCTCCAGTCTAAACCAGCTCAAAATCCACTGCTCTCCTGATCATTGACATCCTGGCTGCTCCCAGAGCACCCACTGTCTGTGCCATGGTCTGGTGGGTCTCACACTCCTCTCTGCATCATGATTTAATTTGTCTCGACTGCAAACTGTATGTTCATGAAAAGCTGGGACTTGCTTTGGATTTCTTCAGATCCTTAGGCCTAGAACCCGGCATCTTGTAGGTCCAACTTCCCCTCACCTTCTCATTCAGACTCCTGTTTTAGTCCTCACATGCTCAGGCTCACCTGATTCCTTCTTCATTTTGGGCTCTCACCCTGGCCTTGATTTTTGACAGCCTTGTGATTGAAGACTACCTGCAGGCCTTCTCTCCTCATTACTGTCACACACAGTCAAATTGATGAAAGCCCGCACCCTTATTGGAGAACTTCTCCCAGCAGAAGTGAGCTTCCCAGTGTTCTTTGGGGTACTATCCCAGCAAGTAATCATGATTCTTATTCCATATGTCAGCTAGGAGGTCTGCAGAAACAAACCAGGCCCACAATCAACACCCCTGCCAGAGCTCTGAGACTGCTTCGTAAATATTAATATTTATGTGGAAGTCCCTTCTCACAGACACTTCCTCCTTATCCTCTCCTTATTTAACTCTACTTCATTTGGAAAATATTTTTAAGTGACCTGGGCAGGTACCTGTCACAGAATAAATATGCACCACTTTCTCTGCCATCATAAAACTGAAGATTTTCTTTCTTTCTGCTAACTGACATGACAGACATCCACTTAGTAGAGTGATTATTAGTATAAAATTACTTTTTGGCCTTTAAATTTAATTATGCTACATTCATAGCAATAATATGAAATCTCGAATCCAGGTGTGCTTTTCAAGAAAAGTATCTGGGACAGTTACCGTCTGATAATGGCATCTTGCACTTAAGCCTTTTGTCTGGGGATCTTGAAATCTTTCTATACAAGTAGATAATGATGTTCATTTTGTAAGGTGCGAAAGGTGGAGTGATTGACCTCTTGGCATACTCAAGAGATGAAGAAAAATCTAGGACCCAGGTGTCTCCTTTGTTTTTTCCCTTTGCCCCCCTCAGTTCTTTAAAAAGAGGCATGACCAGTTTTCAATTGTCTTAAATACTTTCCTCTCATGTACTGCTTTCCACTTTTTACAGAGCATGAATTTTTTTTTTAAAAAAAGTTTCTATATCACATTTCATGAGAATAGTTGAGGTTCAGGGAGAGGGAATGGTTTGCAGGTATGTGCACACTTATCAGAGAATATACATGTCTCTCCTGGTACAAAAAAATACCTTATCTCTGTCACATGGTAGAACTTAAGCATGGGTTCCAGGGTTCATACTTGGAAAGCATTTAGGACCGTGCCTGGCACATGGCAAGCCCTGTGTAAGTGATGGCTTTCAGGATTATCTTTTTTGATATCTGTGGGCAGACACCTTCATCTCTAGAGAAGCAGCACTTAGAGTGGACCCTTACTTGTGTTCTCTAAAAGTTTGGGTGCACTTCCCTTCTCCCCACCCTGCCAAGCCTTTCCAAATCCTCAGGAGCCAGTTTGAGGCAAATTTCCCTCCTCCAGGAACTGTCCCCTATCCAAACAACCATCAGTCACCTTTCTGTCTGCATAACTCCTATATTATTTTCTCAGTTCAACTAAACAAACTTGGACTGAACATCTAGCTTATACTAAGGTACACCTGATTTGGGCATTAAATTATGCTTTGTCTTGTAATGCTATTTTAACTCTTGTATGAATTTTTGCCTTGGGTCTAATGGGATGGTTGGGTCTTGAGGGAGAAGTTCATACAAACTGTGTGTGTGCATGTGTGTATAGAAAGAGAGAGTTTGGTATTTCCCCCAGCCCCAGATACAGTCCTGCATGTACAGCAAGAGATCAATACTCTCTAAGAATAGGAGGTTGGGAGGGACAGAAGAGACCAAACTACACACATTGTGCTGAATCCAATAGAATAAATTCTTGTTGAACTAAATTGAAGTAACGTAGCTCTTCATGGGGTCTGAAACACATCCATAAGTGTTCTTTCTTTGGTCCACTATAACACCCTATTCTATTCTGTTATATATATAGACGGGATGCCCTGATAAAAAGCATTATAATCCAATGTGATGATAAAACAGATACAGTGTTTATAAGAAAAATGGACTATGATGCACTCTGCAACTGAGATTTGGTCAAAGGTCTTTGCTGTTAAGGTGGGGGGTCATGATAATATTTAGTTGGGGGATCATGAAAACTTTCATTCATTTATTCAACAAATTTATATTGAGAAACAGTCTTCTGTTCCAGGGCTGTGCTAGTGCTGGAGCTTCATGGAAGAGGATGGAGGATAGGATTAGCACCGGGTCTCCCACACGACCACTCTTAAATATAAATACAGAGACCCAAACTTCTGCTTCTTTTCTTTAGTATTTATTAGAGAGGCTTTATAGTCCTGTCATTTTTTCCCCCTGATGCAAAAGGCATTAAAAGGAGCCGGAGACCTATAATGTATGAATTCCCGTCAATGTTGCAGTCTCCTGGATTGTGAAGCTAATTTCCTTTTAGTAGCTAGTTAACGTTCACACCCAGTGTTTGCTCCCACTTTCATAGTCTTCTGATGAAATGCTGACTGTGAAGGTGAGAGCTGCTGACACTGTTTGCCATTTTGGTTTCTTCTAGGATTTTTTTCCCAGGAAGCCATCCTGTCAGAGGTGTGCAAGTAATGAAAGTTGGCAAACTGCAGTTACATCAAGGCATGTTTCCCCAAGCAATGAAGAATCTAAGACTGGTGAGTGTGCCAAGATCTCATGTAGTTCTGCCAGGTATACCTTTTTATGGCTGTTGCTGGACTGCTTCTTTGTGATTTTTAGCAACTCTGCACATGTGTGCACACATAGTCATCTGGCCAATATATGCTGGTAAATGTTTAACAACCACTCGGGGAGAAACCAGATTTATGACATTTGCCTGTTTCTATGGTGCAAACATGCCTACCTTGGTTGATTTTAAACTACCAATGTAAAATCACCTTTCTAGTAAAAATCATGATAGTTTTAACAATCCCTCTTGCAACCTGGTGCAAACGTGCCTGAGAACACCACTGCCCCTCTGCCCTCTCCATAAGCTGCCCTTCTCCATGCTTCCTACTCACTGCTCACAGAACACAGTCCATGTTTTTTGCATAGCAGGCAAGGCCCTTGTCCATCTGTCTGCCATTTACCTTTGCAGCTTCCCCTCCCCTCTCCCCCTCTCCTTCCATCTTTTCACACTGTGACCACTGTGCTGCTCACCATTACCCACCATTACCCTGAGCTGCTCACTCCTAGGTCCTTACAAAACTATTTCTTCAGCCTTACATGCCCTTCCATCACCATACTCTGGGCCTGGCAACACTCTATTAGTTCTTTAAGGCCAACTCCAGTGTGTTGTTTTCTCCTTGTTCCTCCACAACTCTTTGTTCACCCTGCCAATACAGCACTTCCCACATTGTAATAGGCATTCCTGATGGCCCCACCACCCCTGTCCCAGAAGACTGTGAGGTCTTTGTGGTTATCTGCGTAACCAGCTCAGTGCCATGGAAGGGACCTGAAACTCAGAAGTATTTGTCATTGGGGGAGGGAGGAAGAAGGCAAGGATGGAGGAGAAGATCAGTCGGTACAATCCGGGCAGTAAGTCTCAGGAAACTAATTGGGAGAACTGGGTCATTGCTGGAATACCTTGTTAAAGATTGATGCTTACTGTCACCCTCTCAGGGAGCCTCCTCTGCCCAGAGGGGCACAGGACTCTCTGCTATCCTGGCCTTCCCAGCCCGGCAGAGCTCCTTCTGCGCAGTCCACAGCCCTCAGCCCTCCAAAGGAGAGCTCACATGCTCTTCTGGTCCAGGTGCTGATGGTCATACAGAGACCTGCTGTGTGGGGTTTCACAGGAAGCATTTGATACTTTAACAGGGTCTCTGGGCCACAATGACCTTGTGTACAGAAGAGTTACAGTGGAAGGTTTGGAACCCTGCATCAGGGTTGCTCAGGGAATCTCCATGGGCTGACTGATCGTATAACATGGGCAGCCATCCACATTTAGACCAAAGAGAAGTGACAGATACCTGAAGAATTCTTAAAAATATGATTCCCTGATGCAAATTTTTTTGAATGCTAGCCATGTTGCCTTTTCCTGATCTCTGACTGAAAACAGAACACAGTAAACAGGAAGAACACTGAGATTTCCTGAAGGCATTTAGCTCTTCCTGTTCTTTTTTTTTACCTTGTCTGATATCTTTACCCAGAGCGGAGGAGAACACCGAGTTTCAGAGGGAACCTGCCTTTTCTGGTCTGGCTAGCACTTGTCAGCCAGTTAGATCAGCTAGGGGCAGAAAATACTTAATGAGCATCTACCCTGAGAAATTTTTGACAAATAATAATAATAGTGTAGATGAAATTTTCCAAGTATGTGATGTATTCAATCCAAGGTCACCTGCAAGTTCATAAGTGATCAAATTAGATCTTTATGTTTATATGGGAAAAGAAACTGTTAATACTGCACATGCATACATGGTCATGCTTGGTCCTCATGACAGATGACGGCAATATGACGTCAGTGGGGTAGGCATTTTCATCTATACTTGAAGAATGAAGGAGCTAAGGCTTGGAGACATGCAGGAGCCCATTTAAAATCACACTGAGGCAGAGCCAGGTGTGATTTGTTTAATGCAATTCAGCACATGTTGATTAAATGCTTCCTATTACTGTGAATAAGACACTCAGTATTGTCCTTACAATTTAATGGAGGAGGCAGACATGTGAACTAGTCATTAAATCCAGGCTAGAATCCAAGGCTCTGTTCTTTTCCTCTGGACTGGCCCAGTTAAATAGATGAAGCTCTCTAGTAAGACTCAGTGTGTAGAAATTCTGATGCCAACTCAGAGGAAAATGTGGCAGTGAAATCAGAGATTTAGATCCCCTCTGTTCTTCATGTAAGGCTTTAGTCATTGGCATTGCATACAGAACTCTTGAAAGAGACCTCTGTTACCCTCAGCAGCAAGGACATGCCTGAGCAAACCCAGACAGACATATAAGTATGTATTTACAGGATCATGCGGCCTGGGTTGCTGGTGCTGGCCATTGCCAGCCCTTCTGATGACCTTCTTATTGTCTTTTTACACCCCTCATGCCCAGTTCTGTTCTCTGTTGTCCTCACACCCTCTTTGTAAGATTGCCTCACCTATTCCAGAAACTTCTCTTGGTAATCATGCTAGCATCCCCTCTTAGATTGTGCTCTCTGTACCACAGATAGGCATAAGAAAGGACCCTAATCAATGCTAAATGAAAGATACTCTGGGAGCAGCATTGGAATGTCTGTCATGAGGCCTGGGGTTAAATCATGGCCTTACCCCAAACTTGTTATTTTAGTCAAGAACAATCACTGAGTCTCTTGCCACAGAGTGTCTCTGATTATCAACCAAAGAGCCAATGTGCACCTTTGGTGGTGTGTAGTACAAAGAGGACTCAGATTTAGAGCTAGTAGGCTCAGGTTCCAGTCCCATCATTTACTCGTTTTGTGACTTGAAGTCACTTAACCTCTCTGAATATAATTTTATTTTAAAATGAAGCTAATACCTGTTCCATAGAGTTGTTCTGAGAGGTAAATGAGGCAATGTGTGAGAATGCGCTTGCCAATCTGAAGTGTTTTGAGACGATTATTGTTATAGGAACTCTTGTTCTGATTGCTCTCCCATTAACTGGTCCCTTTAGTACTTATGTTTATAGTTTGGGATCACGTGGTAGTTCCCCTTTTGAACAATTATGTTATATGACTGCTTCCCAGTAGTTCACATGGGCATGTTTTGTTTTCCAAGGTGAAATTGAGGAATTCCTCAAGTGACCTTGACTTAGGTATTTTGTATCTTCTGGTACCCCTAATACAGACGCACATGCCTTTAAAACAACAAGTTCTGTTTAATACATACTTGAATGAATGGATTTTTTTAATGGGTAGAAAATTTTAAATGTCCCATCCTGGCCCTGTTCTTTTAGCTGTATATGGCTAAGGGGCAGATCTTCTCACGACCTTTGCTGAGCACTTGCTGGCAGATAGATGACCTAAACGTGTCCATCTCTGTTAGAACTCATTTGACCTGTGAGTCTAGAAACAGGTCAGTTTCTTCCTACAGAAGAATCTTTCTTGAGCTTTCTCAGGACTCAGGTAACCCAGAGAGGTAAAAGGGAGGCTATATTCTTTGCCTTTTGAACCTGGTGTTTAGATGGGCACTCATGGATATTCTTTCCTGTCTTAGAAACTCTGGAAATAGTGGAATGAAATGGCTTGAATAAGGTGTTCAAAGACTGAAATCAGAGAAGCCTCAAAACAGAAATTTGTTACAGATTCAATTAGGCCCCAGCCTCCTCCAGGAAAGGAATCCATTTAGCCCAACTCTGATTTGGTTTAGACTTCCATTTTCACTGGACTCAGCTGAAATTCTGGTGATTGCTGCCACAGGACTGTCCTGGGGTCCCTTCACAGTGCTTCCCTCCTGCTTTTTCTTGTCTCTAATCTACTTTTATTTCTTTCCATTTATTTCTTAGCAGGCTTTTGTTTGCCACTAATTTGACTTCTTGGACCTCAAGGACAGTCCTTCTGGGCAGTCTTGTGAATGAGCCTGTTTTCTTCCTGTGGGCTTTGCATGGTACAGACTCCCTCACCCTAGCCCTAGAATAGCTGCTTTGTTAGCAGAAGTCAGGATGCAAAAATCAGACTTATTTCCTCTTATAACCATTTTTTATCTAGATTTAAACCTCTTGTACTACTTTCTTTTCTTCCTTTCTCATTTCATTTTGTTGAAGCATTTTACCTTTTTCTGGGCCTAAACCGGGATTGCAGACCACAAGTCCCAGACATGGCTCCTTTTATTGCTGCACAGTTATCAGCTACTTCACATCTAGGGAGAGCTGAAAGCCCACCTACACTGGTCTCTCTAATCTTGCCTGCACTCTGATTTCCAGCCCCCATGATGGCTGATTTAGAGCATGCAATTCTACTTTTTCCATTTCTTAATCTACTACGGTAATTCTGAACATTTTTGGTCATGTTACTATTTAGGAATCTGATAGGAACTACTGAATTCATTAAAGAAAAATGTACATACACGCAACCTTTTGTGTGTTTGGTGAGGAAGGAGCTTAGAGGCTCCCTGAAGCCTTTCCATGGACTCTCTAAGTGTCCATGGCCTCTAGGTTAAAAAGACCTTCTCTACACATGTAACATCACACTTTCACATGTGGGGAGACAGGAGGGAAAGGCGAGAGAGCAAGAAGGCATACAGAGATAATTGTCACTAGTACCTTTAAAGAGTCGTTTGGAAGCCCCAGACTCTGACATTTATGAATATTTCTACTCACCTCCAAATAGTTTTAAGAGTGTGTTTTTTAATTAAAAGAAGAAAACAATGAGTAGAATGCAATCATTGTGATTAAGCCATATTAAAGGAAATAAGCAGAGATTTACCTACCAGGAAGTATAAATCTAGTAGTAACAAGGAAACAAGTGAGGAACCCAGACTTACACCTCCCTGGCAGTAACAAGGTGTCATCCCCTCATTCTCTTGCTACAATGATGTCAGAGAAAGCCAGCTGAAACAGATAAACAAATAAAATTTGAAGTCTCATAACAGAATACTCAGAATTCAAAATGTCCAGGTTTTAATTGAAAATCACTCCTCATGCCAAGAACCAGGAATATCTCAATCCAAATAAAAAAAATAAATCCATATGTGCCAATTCAAATGTAAGAGTTGTTAGA